TAGACAGAGGGACATTGATAAATCGACATAGCATTTTATGCAGATCAAGAATATATATACTTTGTGGGGTCTAAAATGTATATTTCGAGGTGTTACAAACGGAATGACAAACTTAATATACCCTCCATACTATGGTGGAGGGTATAAAAGGAAAGAATATCAAACGACATACCATCCTTCCCGTTTTTTTTTTCGACTCCACTGTGAAGTGAATAAAATAAAGAAAACACTTCTCTCTAAAGTTAAAACAAATAGATTTATGAATGAACTACCACCACTCGAATAATGTTCACAGCATGCCATAGATAGGTTTCTAGCTGTGTAAATGAAATGTCTTAATTCGAAACGTAGTTCAGCAGCCGTCTGAATGGGAGGAAGGCGGGTGAGCTATATTTTTACCAAATATCTAAAGTTAGAACACAAAGTCACGAAGGAACCCCCCCCCCCCCAACATGCCATCACGGCTCCTCAAATTTATTTCTATTTCAGACATTAGTCAAACTGGCGAATCGGGCTGCTAAAAATTGTTAACCTACAAAATGTGTTTGACTCTCGGTCGGTAACAAATGTTCAAATATTATTTGTAGGCCAAGTCAAAATTTTCACAATTTCCATTCGAAAAAAGCATCTCTTCGTTTATGTGGGTTATGTTTTTGCTGGCAGACAGAAGTGTGGGTGGTCGTGGTAGGGGTGGGGGTACGAAATGTTTTCTTTTACTGCCAGCAATAGACCTCTTGTTGTTGTTATTGTTGGCGATAACTTGAATAAAAATAATATTTATTAAAAAAAAATAGGTATGTGCTTTGTTGATGGGAACCTAGAGCAAATATTTCGTCAGGTGGTTGGCTTGTTTTTCATTAAATTTTTATTCCGATCTCCATAATAGAATTGTGATTTTGTTTTTCTTCAAGGTAGGATTCTATTTTTGTTTCTTGTGTGTTCTATTTAAAATTGGATATGAGTATACAATGTGTGTGCGCAATAATAAGAAATTAAACAAGTGAAAAAGCCATAAATTCGGCCGGACCGGGATCTTTGAATACCCTCCATTATTTGGAACGAATTTGGCAATTTTCAAATGAAAATTAAATCCGTTAAAAATCCTCTTAAAACCTTAAAAACAGCGATTGTATCCGCTATATTTGGGTCTATACGACGTGGACCTGCATAGGCAACTTCTTCCATTATCCATTACAAAATTCAAATGCGAGAATTGAAAAAGAAAATTCGGTGAATAATGTCGGTAAAATCATCAAAAATATATGGAGGCCATACGAAGACGCAGACAATCTTCTGTCATAGGCTGTAGTATCCGTTACGAACTGTAAATATCAAATTTGAAACATGTCCGGTAAATAATGTCGCTTAAATCACCTATATACCGAAAATTGGGAGGTACCATTATATGTGGACTATACCAAAACGTAGACCTATTTATGAGGGCTAAACGAAGACGTGGATCTGCATGGACAATTTTCCGTCTTAAGCTATAGTATCTATTACGAACTTTTAATACCAAATTTCAAACAATTCCAGTGAATAATGACGCTAAGCTTATCAAAATACCGAATATCGGAAGGTATCGCTATATGATATGCAGGTTCACGAAGACGTGAAATCGACATAGAATGTAATGCTGAACAAGAATATACATATACTTTGTGGGGTCTAAAATGTATATTTCACGGTGTTGCAAATGGAAAGACAAACTTAATGTATCCTCCATCCTAAAGTGGAGGGTATAATAAAAGAGGACAGCAATTGACTGACTGACCTAAAGATTCATCAACGGAAAATTCGTTTCAGGGTTAATCTTGGTGGAAGAGGTCAGATAAGGCTGGGTTTTTGGAAATTCGTACTAGAACGGTACTTAATGTACCCTCCATTCTAAGGTGGAGGGTATAATAAAAGAGTAAAGTAGTTGACTGACTGACTGACTGACTTAAAGATTCATCAACGCCCAAACGAAATGGCTGAAGTAAGAATCTGGAAAATTCGTTTCAGGGTTAATCTTGGTGGAAGAGGTCAGATAAGGCTAGGTTTTTGGAAATACGTACTAGAACGGTACTTAATGTACCCTCCATTCTAAGGTGGAGGGTATAATGAAAGAGTAAAGTTATTGACTGACTGACTTAAAGATTCATCGACCGCCAGATGAAATGGCTGATGTTAGAATCTTTAAATTTCAGATCAGGGTCAATCTTTATGGAAGAGCATAGATAAGGCTGGGGTTTTGGAAATTCGTACTAGAACGGTACTTAATGTAACCTCCATACTAAGGTGGAGGGTATAAAAACGAAATAAAGTAATTGACTGACTGGCTTAAAGATTCATCGACGGCCAGACGAAACGGCTGATGTTAGAATCTTTAAATTTCAGGTCATGGTCAATCTTTATGGAAGAGGATAGATAAGGCTGGGTTTTTGGAAATTCGTACTAAAACAATACGAAAAGTATAAAAAGGTACTAAATATGTTACCCTTTGTCTTTGAGGAAGTATTGGAGCTAGAACCCTTAAATTTGGAGGAAGAAGGATTCTTAAAATTGGAATGAAGGTCACCGTCCGTCTATCCGTATGTCCGTCTGTGGAAATCACTCTAGCTTCCGAACGAAATAAAGTAGGATGATAAAATTTTACTCAAATGTGTTTATGTATGCAGGACTTTTGGTATTGAAAATGGGCCATGTAGGTTCACGTCTTCGTATAGCCCCCATATAACGCTACCCACCGATATTCGGTATTCTGATGATTTTAGTGACATTTTTTACCGGAATTGTTTCAAATATCGCATTTGAAGTTCGTAATGAATACTATAGCCTATGACAAAAAAATTGTCTGTGCAGGTCCACGTTTTACAACTCCAATGGTTCGTCCCTATATTCGGAATTTTGATAATTTTAGCTACATTATAAACAGATTTTTTTCAAGTTTCGCATTTGAATATTGTAATAGGTTGTGACAAAAGTTGCCTATACAGGTCCACGTCGTCGCACAGACATTAATATACGGCTACATTGGGTATTTTATATTTGAAAATTGCCAAATTTGTACCAAATGGTGGAGGGTATTCATGTTCTGCCGGGCCGAATTTATAGTATTTTTACTTGTCGTATAGACCCTAATATACGGCTACATTCGGTATTTTTTAAGATTTTAACAGAATTTTTAACGGATTTTATTTTTTTTAATTGTTTAATTTGTACCAAATGGTGGAGGGTATTCGAAGTTCGGCCCCGCCGAAATTACAGCTTTTTTACTTGTTACCTTTTTTTAATTTTAGGATTCTGGTTGAGAGACATATATTTAGATATAGCAAGTTACAAAGAATCGCTGTTTGCAATTTATGACAGATAAACTATTAAAAATTGTGAACCTATTTGGGTGAGGTACCCGAAAAGGTTCACAGATATATAGCAGCTTCACAACAGATCTGGTGTAAGCAAAAATGTTTGTAAGTGTTAAATTTGAAAAGAGTTGGATTCTTATTCGCTTTCTTTGAGCGTTTTATTTTTCAAAACCTTGAACCCTATGCAGGGCAGGTAGCAAAAGAAATGTTCCGATCTCTACCATCTGCGTTTATGGAAATATTGAGATGTACCATGTCTGGTATATACTTGGATGTTGAGTTCGCCGCTTTTAATGAGCTTCATTAAAATTCAAAATTTGAAGCCTTTGTGGGTAAGGTACCAGAAGAAGAGGACCGATATATCGCATCCTCACAACAGATCTTGTGTTAGCAAAAATTCTTATATGTATGAAATATAAAGAGAATCTGATGGTTATTTTGGATTTTATTAACGTTTTGGTTATTCAAAACTTTGACTCTTTGTAAGGGAGGTTCCAGCAGAAATGGTCCGATATCTACCGACTTTACAACAGATCCTGTGTTGATAGAAACATTCAGATGTGCCAAGTCTGAATGGAATCTGATGTTAATTTCGTGTTTTATGAGCTTAACTAATATTCAAAATTTTGAATTTTTTTTTTTTGGGGGGGGGGGGGGGTGTACCGGAAAGAGTGGACCGATGTATTCCGTATTACTACCAGATCTTGGGTTCAAAAAAAAAAAATAGTAGAATGTGTTAAATTTGAAGAGAATCGGGCTCTCACATCATATTTTGTAAGAGTTATAATTATTCAAAATGTTGACCCTTTGTGGGAGAGGCACTTGATGGAATGGACCGATATTGTCCATTTCCGCTCCAGACCTAGCACTGACGCAAATATTAGAATATGTTCCTCTTTATGTGCAGAAAATCATTTTTTTGAAATTTTCGATTTGTGGGATGTGTGAACTTTGAAGACAATCGGACTCTTATATCATATTTTGTAAGAGTTATAGCTCTTAAAAATGTTGATCCTTTGTGGGGGAGGTACTTTATGGAGTGAACCGTAGTGTCCATATACGGATTTAGGATTATCCTTTCTCTGCCTGTGCAATAAATTTTGGACGTTTTGTGGGTGAGGTACCAAAAGGAGTGGACCGATATTGGCCATCTCTGGACTCGATCTAAATTTGACAAAAATATTACGATATACCAAGTTTGGAACAAATCGGATACTGCCTCCGAAAGTTATCGTGAGCACCCGCCAGACGGACAGACGGACGAACGGACATCGCTAAATCGACCTCAATTGTTCTGAAGCGGATTTGGTCCAAAGAGTCTTAGGGTCTAAAACCATTATTTCGACGTTTTGCCCGTATTAAAAGATATATACCCTCTCTAGCCATAAGGCTGAGGGTATAAAAATTCTCCACTCTCATTTTAATTTTACCCAGCTTATATATTTGCCCTTTAGCCTTCCGATGCCTTTGGACGTCTTCTGTATAGAGGTGGACGTCGCTCTATAAGTTGTCTTTACATTTAAGATCTTCCAAAAGCAATAGTTTTTTTTAGAATTAAATGTTCTGCCAATTTATGATATTTTTGTCGATATATATTTTTTTTTTAGAAATTAATATTTTATAAAGTAATGTTTAACATTTTTTTATCCATAGTCCTCATAGTCCTTTTTTAACGTTGTTTAACGACGACATTGCCTTTCACAGGCCGCCTTGGTGCAATGGCGATTGTTGTTGCCACGACATCCTCGATAACGCATCTCCTTGCACTGCCTGTCTCTGGGATCATAATACCACATGGTACGAGGTGTACAACGGCGTCCACGGATACCCAAATCTCGGGGTCCACTACAAGATGGATTTCCTAAAAACAATTATTAAATATTAATATATGTAGATGTTATTTTTATTATTTTTTATTTATTTATTTTTTGGTCCAAATCTTACTTGGTCTTCCAACACATGCCTGGGCGCTGACACAGGCCAAGAAAGCCAAAACTGCAATAATTATTGATTGTAAATGCATGTTGAAGTTAAAAGTTGGATGTTTGAAGCTTGAAAGGCTGGAAACGATGTGATGCTTTTCGAAAGCTAACAGGTGGTTTATATAGCTACAAATTTGTCATAAATATAGCATGAGGCCTATATTTGGCCTTTGTCCTCCGCTGAGAATATTTTTTGTTTCAAAATTGTTTTTTACTTCAAAAAATATGTCATCTCGATTTAATAGTTCATTTCAACACATGAAAAGATTGAAAAGATTTTCAAACATGCACGTGCATGAAAATAAAAACACAAAAAATTCAAAAGAATAGCATTCAATGGAACCGACACGACTCCTGAAAATGTAAGATATTTTTAAAAGCTTTAAAATCTTTTGTATGGCCAACAATGCCAAGATTTCTTTCTACATTTTACAACAGTTGTCCAGCTATATAAACCACCTGTTCCGATTCGAAAATCATCACATCGTTTCAAGCCATTCCAGCTGTAAAACATAACAACTCCAAGCAAAAACATGCATTTACAATCGATAATTATTGCAGTGTTGGCTTTCTTGGCCTGTGTCAGCGCCCAAGCATGTGTTGGAAGACCAAGTATGTGTGTTCGCCAGAGACCTCGACTCCATACAAAATATATCGACATTTTAAATATTTTTAATTTTTATTTTCAGGAAATCCATCTTGTCGAGGACCCCGAGATTTGGGCACCCGTGGACGCCGTTGTACACCTCGCACCATGTGGTACTATGATCCCAGAGACAGGCAGTGCAAGGAGATGCGTTACCGGGGATGTCGTGGCAACAACAATCGCCATTGCACCAAGGCGGCCTGTGAAAGTCAATGTCGTCGCTAAACGCTAAATAGCATCGAAGAAGGATAATAAGGACAATGGAACTGGATAAACGAATATTAAAAATAGCATTATAATATATCATTTTCTAAAAAAGAAAAATATATCTGCAAAATCATCATAAATCGGTAGTAAATCGGAAAATTCGTTTCAGGGTTAATCTTGGTGGAAGAGGTCAGATAAGGCTGGGTTTTTGGAAATTCGTACTAGAACGGTACTTAATGTACCCTCCATTCTAAGGTGGAGGGTATAATAAAAGAGTAAAGTAGTTGACTGACTGACTGACTGACTTAAAGATTCATCAACGCCCAAACGAAATGGCTGAAGTAAGAATCTGGAAAATTCGTTTCAGGGTTAATCTTGGTGGAAGAGGTCAGATAAGGCTAGGTTTTTGGAAATACGTACTAGAACGGTACTTAATGTACCCTCCATTCTAAGGTGGAGGGTATAATGAAAGAGTAAAGTTATTGACTGACTGACTTAAAGATTCATCGACCGCCAGATGAAATGGCTGATGTTAGAATCTTTAAATTTCAGATCAGGGTCAATCTTTATGGAAGAGCATAGATAAGGCTGGGGTTTTGGAAATTCGTACTAGAACGGTACTTAATGTAACCTCCATACTAAGGTGGAGGGTATAAAACGAAATAAAGTAATTGACTGACTGGCTTAAAGATTCATCGACGGCCAGACGAAACGGCTGATGTTAGAATCTTTAAATTTCAGGTCATGGTCAATCTTTATGGAAGAGGATAGATAAGGCTGGGTTTTTGGAAATTCGTACTAAAACAATACGAAAAGTATAAAAAGGTACTAAATATGTTACCCTTTGTCTTTGAGGAAGTATTGGAGCTAGAACCCTTAAATTTGGAGGAAGAAGGATTCTTAAAATTGGAATGAAGGTCACCGTCCGTCTATCCGTATGTCCGTCTGTGGAAATCACTCTAGCTTCCGAACGAAATAAAGTAGGATGATAAAATTTTACTCAAATGTGTTTATGTATGCAGGACTTTTGGTATTGAAAATGGGCCATGTAGGTTCACGTCTTCGTATAGCCCCCATATAACGCTACCCACCGATATTCGGTATTCTGATGATTTTAGTGACATTTTTTACCGGAATTGTTTCAAATATCGCATTTGAAGTTCGTAATGAATACTATAGCCTATGACAAAAAAATTGTCTGTGCAGGTCCACGTTTTACAACTCCAATGGTTCGTCCCTATATTCGGAATTTTGATAATTTTAGCTACATTATAAACAGATTTTTTTCAAGTTTCGCATTTGAATATTGTAATAGGTTGTGACAAAAGTTGCCTATACAGGTCCACGTCGTCGCACAGACATTAATATACGGCTACATTGGGTATTTTATATTTGAAAATTGCCAAATTTGTACCAAATGGTGGAGGGTATTCATGTTCTGCCGGGCCGAATTTATAGTATTTTTACTTGTCGTATAGACCCTAATATACGGCTACATTCGGTATTTTTTAAGATTTTAACAGAATTTTTAACGGATTTTATTTTTTTTAATTGTTTAATTTGTACCAAATGGTGGAGGGTATTCGAAGTTCGGCCCCGCCGAAATTACAGCTTTTTTACTTGTTACCTTTTTTTAATTTTAGGATTCTGGTTGAGAGACATATATTTAGATATAGCAAGTTACAAAGAATCGCTGTTTGCAATTTATGACAGATAAACTATTAAAAATTGTGAACCTATTTGGGTGAGGTACCCGAAAAGGTTCACAGATATATAGCAGCTTCACAACAGATCTGGTGTAAGCAAAAATGTTTGTAAGTGTTAAATTTGAAAAGAGTTGGATTCTTATTCGCTTTCTTTGAGCGTTTTATTTTTCAAAACCTTGAACCCTATGCAGGGCAGGTAGCAAAAGAAATGTTCCGATCTCTACCATCTGCGTTTATGGAAATATTGAGATGTACCATGTCTGGTATATACTTGGATGTTGAGTTCGCCGCTTTTAATGAGCTTCATTAAAATTCAAAATTTGAAGCCTTTGTGGGTAAGGTACCAGAAGAAGAGGACCGATATATCGCATCCTCACAACAGATCTTGTGTTAGCAAAAATTCTTATATGTATGAAATATAAAGAGAATCTGATGGTTATTTTGGATTTTATTAACGTTTTGGTTATTCAAAACTTTGACTCTTTGTAAGGGAGGTTCCAGCAGAAATGGTATGATAGAAATGGTTGATAGAAACATTCAGATGTGCCAAGTCTGAATGGAATCTGATGTTAATTTCGTGTTTTATGAGCTTAACTAATATTCAAAATTTTGAATTTTTTTTTTTTTGGGGGGGGGGGGGGGGTGTACCGGAAAGAGTGGACCGATGTATTCCGTATTACTACCAGATCTTGGGTTCAAAAAAAAAAATAGTAGAATGTGTTAAATTTGAAGAGAATCGGGCTCTCACATCATATTTTGTAAGAGTTATAATTATTCAAAATGTTGACCCTTTGTGGGAGAGGCACTTGATGGAGTGAACCGTAGTGTCCATATACGGATTTAGGATTACCCTTTCTCTGCCTGTGCAATAAATTTTGGACGTTTTGTGGGTGAGGTACCAAAAGGAGTGGACCGATATTGGCCATCTCTGGACTCGATCTAAATTTGACAAAAATATTACGATATACCAAGTTTGGAACAAATCGGATACTGCCTCCGAAAGTTATCGTGAGCACCCGCCAGACGGACAGACGGACGAACGGACATCGCTAAATCGACCCCAATTGTTCTGAAGCGGATTTGGTCCAAAGAGTCTTAGGGTCTAAAACCATTATTTCGACGTTTTGCCCGTATTAAAAGATATATACCCTCTCTAGCCATAAGGCTGAGGGTATAAAAATTCTCCACTCTCATTTTAATTTTACCCAGCTTATATATTTGCCCTTTAGCCTTCCGATGCCTGTGGACGTCTTCTGTATAGAGGATCGCTCTATAAGTTGTCTTTACATTAAAGATCTTCCAAAAGCAATAGTTTTTTTTTTAGAATTAAATGTTCTGCCAATTTATGATATTTTTGTCGATATATATTTTTTAGAAATTAATATTTTATAAAGTAATATTTAACATTTTTTTATCCATAGTCCTCATTGTCCTTTTTTAACGTTGTTTAACGACGACATTGCCTTTCACAGGCCGCCTTGGTGCAATGGCGATTGTTGTTGCCACGACATCCGCGATAACGCATCTCCTTGCACTGCCTGTCTCTGGGATCATAATACCACATGGTACGAGGTGTACAACGGCGTCCACGGATACCCAAATCTCGGGGTCCACTACAAGATGGATTTCCTAAAAAAATTTATTAAATATTAATATATGTAGATGTTATTTTTATTATTTTTTATTTATTTATTTTTTGGTCGAAATCTTACTTGGTCTTCCAACACATGCTTGGGCGCTGACACAGGCCAGGAAAGCCAAAACTGCAATAATTATTGATTGTAAATGCATGTTGAAGTCAAAAGTTGGATGTTTGAAGCTTGAAAGGCTGGAAACGATGTGATGCTTTTCGAAAGCTAACAGGTGGTTTATATAGCTACAAATTTGTCATAAATATAGCATGAGGCCTATTTTAGGCCTTTGTCCTCCTCTGAGAATATTTCTTTTTTTCCCAAAATTGTTTTTTACTTCAAAAAATATGTCATCTCGATTGAATAGTTCATTTCAACACACGAAAAGATTGACAAGATTTTCAAACATGCACGTGCATGAAAATAAAAACACAAAAAATTCAAAAGAATAGCATTCAATGGAACCGACACGACTCCTGAAAATGTAAGATATTTTTAAAAGCTTTAAAATCTTTTGTATGGCCAACAATGCCAAGATTTCTTTCTACATTTTGCAACAGTTGTCCAGCTATATAAACCACCTGTTCCGATTCGAAAATCATCACATCGTTTCAAGCCATTCCAGCTGTAAAACATAACAACTCCAAGCAAAAACATGCATTTACAATCGATAATTATTGCAATGTTGGCTTTCTTGGCCTGTGTCAGCGCCCAAGCATGTGTTGGAAGACCAAGTATGTGTGTTCGCCAGAGACCTCGACTCCATACAAAATTTATCGACATTTTAAATATTTTTAATTTTTATTTTCAGGAAATCCATCTTGTCGAGGACCCCGAGATTTGGGCACCCGTGGACGCCGTTGTACACCTCGCACCATGTGGTACTATGATCCCAGAGACAGGCAGTGCAAGGAGATGCGTTACCGGGGATGTCGTGGCAACAACA